GGCCCACTTTTCCTATGAAAGGCTGTGTCAGGTCAGCCAGTCTGCTGTTAACTTCTGTGATCCCTTGATGTATTCTGCTGACAGGGAGGACAAATGTATCTCATCCAATTGATCAGGTAAGATTGTTAATGTAAGCCTTTTCTGGTAGTGGTGTCTGTCAGAATGAAGACGTTGCCATTCTATGAAGTTTGCCAATTCCTTCAATGTCAAGCATGCTACCCTCAGCTCCAGTTGGCGGATGGGATAGTGTTTACTCATACTGAGACCATTGGTTGTGAACTAAATAGTTATGCAGGTAGGCTTTCCAACCTGTAAGACTAACATCTTTAGGAATCTGGTCCTTTACTGGTTCTCCAAACAAAATTCTCTTTGCCAGATTGGCTGGTACAAGCTATCTTATCCAAGATCTCTAGGCTTATATATGCTGTTTTGGTGAACCGATCTTTCAGTGGAGGAACCATTGGAATAGAACCACTGAAACAGAAATGAGCTCATGGTACTACCTCCCTTGCTGTGATAATCATTCCTTGCACCCTTGCTTGATCCATAAGAGGTTGCCTCTTGGATGTCAGAACTGATAATATTTTGTAGCTTTATGGTGCACTCTTTTGACAGGAAAAATCTCTTTTCCTATGTGGCTATGATGATCCTCAGATGCAAGATCTGTATTAGCAGTGCTCTGTTCCTCTTTTCCAAATTCACTGAATTCACGCTCCTCCAGGCACAGAAGTGTCTGGTGGATACTCTTGACTGCTTTCTCCATTTGGGGAGCTGTGATGAGCAAATCCCCAAAATAGGCATAAATGTGGAATCCCTGAATCCTCAGGTGTCTTTGATAACATTTTGGGTACTAAAGCCAAACCAAACAGGAGAGCTCTGAACTGGAAGTCTTCCTTCCCATATACAAAACCTGGGAACACCTGGTGTGCCTGTCTGATGGGGATAGGCGAGTATACCACCGACAGGTCTACTGATAAAATGGTTTGGTATGATGGCCTATGTTGTGATCTCAGAGTTTCCATTCTAAAAGATTAGAGTCTGATTAATTTGTTCAGGGGCTTGAGATTCAGAATGGCTCTCCTGGTCCCATTCTTTGAGACATCCTGTGACTCCTGCTCGTTTACTTAACTGAGGTATGGGTTCCATCTCTCCACTTAGCACTATGGACTTCAAGAACATGGGTGAGATAACCCCTCTGATAAGATTTCCTCCCCACTGCATTTGTGTCTCCATATCTACTAGATGTGTTGCTTCTCATCTTTCTCTTCTTTCCCCCAAGAACATGAACTGGAATATTCCAAAGAAGATGGAGCAAGAGAGAAATGGAAGATATCCAAAGACCTTTTTGGCCTGGTGCTCTCAATCTTTTCTAGAGTCTTGTTTAAGGCACAATAAAACACAACCCTGACTACTCCCTCTCCAGTCACAATGTGTCCCATTGCTGCCCCCATCTCTGAAGTAAGGCCTTGTTGGCCTGGAACCTGGGGTTCCTGTGATATTTTGCTATGTCCACACAATTCAGCTAGGGATTCTCTCATTCTAACTAGAGTTGGTCCTCTTTCTTCTGATAACATGTCCATTCTGAAGGTTTCTCAAATCTCTCATTGCTATGCTGGTACAAGGGAGGGAGATGAGGTTGACTTATATGTCAGAGCATAGGCAAGGGAAGAGAGGTTTTGGCTGCTCTTTGGCTTCCTTCTTGGGAGAGGGAGTTGTGGCAGGGAGGGGGAGAGTCTTCTGGAATAAGTTACTGCCATTGACTGGCCCTGACCTACATCATCTCCAATTTTGTCCTTGTGATGGCAAAGACAAGCAGGCTGCAGCTGTCATCTACTAAAAGCAAAAGCCCATGTTCCCCAATTGGGAGGACTCAGGAACTCTGCAGGTCTTCCCTCTTGATGGCTTGCTGTGCTCCCTGCATACTTTGTTGTTCAAGCTTCACGCTGTGTGCTTTGCTGCATGCCAGGTGCCTTTACCTCTAGTAGGAAATAAAGAAAAAAGTGTCATGTGGCTGTCTTCCCCACATGGCATCTCCTGATCATGACTTCCCTGGCCACTGGCCTCTTCTGCCATCCCACACCTAAGGACATTTTGCAGAACCCCTTGTTGCTTTGCATGACTCTAGAATCAGAATGGCAAGGAGGAAAAAATGTCACCACTGCCATGCACCTCTACTTCCACACTTTGCTTCCTTCCTTTTTTTCCCCTTTTGTATCCTTCTATTGGATGCAAGTGAAAAGAAAAAGGTTGTTTCTTGGCCCAACATGAAGCCAAGAAGAAATGCCCTTCTCTAGAAGGCAGAGTTAAGGCTGAGGAAGGAGAAGTTCCCTCCTCCAGATGCAGAAGTCTAAGTCTAGAAGGGTGGAGTGAACCTTTCCTGTTGGCTCCATCATTAGTGTCCAAAATAAATTTCTCTACAAAGCAAGTTGAATTAATTATCCATAGAGGTTGTGTTCCCCTTTACTGGATGAGTTCAGCAGAAGCTGGAAAGCCATCAGTTGGGGATATCTTAATTTGGATTCCTGCCCTGCACAGGGGGCTGGACTCAAATCACCTCAATGGTGTCTTCCAGTTGTATAATTCTTTATTACGATGATTAAATATTTGCAAAAACTGTCATATAGTAGTGTATATATTCATTGATTACATTTTTTGTCTCCGGAAATTCAAGGCATTTTATATGGTTCCTTTTACTACATTTTTTCCTTATAACTGCTATAATTTAACTGTAAGTTAAATTGAGATATAGCAGTCTGGGCTGGAGTCACTCAATGAGTTTCATTCACAGCTAGGGATTCAGGCACTGGTTTCTGCAATGTTTGTCCACTGCTCTAACAGTATGTTAGACAATATGTAAAATATCAAAATATTTTTAGAGTGTAAATTACTATTTAGGATGTAACACAAAGTTTTAATGTATTTACTACAAATTTGATTGAAAAAAATCAGTCAAAATACAGTACTTTTAATTTATCTTATTGGCTTCAGCAACCGTGTGCCATTGCACTTTTAACTCAAGTTATATAAGCTCTATGGTTTGGGCTCCTTCCTCCCTTCCCAGCTTACATATTAAAAAGTATTCTGGCTCATTTGTTGTGTTATCTTCAAGTAAACGGTAAAAGGTCGTTCTCCAAGGATAATTTTCAACCAGCAGTTGCATCACTGGTGTAAACAAAATTACTTTGTGGCTGATTGTAGACAAAACGCACTCACTCCAATACATTCAAGATTTTCCCCCAAATAAAAAAGACCCATTTCTAACGTCAAAACTCCTATTCCGTTCAGTGGGGGTAACCTCAGATAAGCGGGCATACTAAGGCTTCCGCCGGTATCCGGTACCCGAGACCTCCGAGGCGAGGGGCAGCGGATCAGAACCGGCCAAACTGGGGCGCAGCCGGCAGAGTTTGCGAGGCAAGCCGTTCTGGAGGTTGCCACGGTCTCCATCCCTGGCGGAGGACCCCGGAAGTCTTCCCAGCTCCATGAAAGCGCCCTCCAGACGTGCTGAAGGCCAACTTCCACCGCCCCACAAGCGGCGCTGGCAGGGGATGATGAGAGCTGCCGCCCAACGCACCTGGCGAACCGGCTTCCAAAGAAGCGGCGCTTCCCGGAGCGCCGTCCCCCGCCCGCCCATCCGTATCCGGGTCTCAGACCGTG